GCGAAGAATCTCACCTTACTGCCCCAGCTGCTCTTCTCTGATGGACGTTTTCAGTGTAGACCACTGTGCGTCGACAGTTGAGTCATCAGCGATGTTGGAATCGGTTGCGTTCAGCAGCGCCTGCCTTCTCTCGTTCCAAGAGCGCGACGTTGAATTTTCCCGAGAAACGAGTCTTCCGGCGAGTAGTCAGGGGGATCTTGAAGCGGGCGCGTACAAGGGTATGGTCTGTACCGTTCCTGTTTCCAGTTTCTGCGCCGCGATAGGAATGGCAGTCTACCGAAGAGGCCCAGCGTGCACGTACCATCATTTGAGTGCCACGTAAGCAGGTGTTTTCTGGGGTGTTGAAAGCGAGTGTTGGCACGACCGACCGGTTAAGGTCAGCAAGTGTGACTAGGCGTTCGTCATTTTCGCAAGCTTGACCAAGGCTGAACTTTCCCAGAACATGCCGAGTATATTCGTCTGATGGTCCAGTGCGTGTATTCCAGATAACGAGGATTTCGCATCTCAGACTGCGCTTCACTGCGGCTTGAACTTGGTTGTAGAAGTTGTTTTTGATGGAATCTTCCGCGTGTAATGTTGGAGCATATACATCGATGCCAGTCAGGTTAAATGGCTTTCCCCTAAAGCGCGCTATGGCAATCCTGGAAGAGATTAGTTCCCAGGAGATCATGGCATTGTTGGCCCGGCCGCGATTGTTACCCCGTGCAAACCGGAGTTGTCAGTTGGGCCGCTGTGGTATAACCCGTAGATTGCGTTGCTATGTGATACGTTGATTAGTTTTGTGTGTTTTTGTATTATACTTCCCTTTGTTGCCGTACCGTATCCCTACATAAACATTGTTTTCTGGAGTATTCAGTCTGATGAGATGTAGGAAATCCGTCCTGGACACACAGATCGTGCAGTATTGCCGTTTTTTCTTTTGAGATAATGATCATCACAACTAACTGTGCAGTGCGGGGTGCAGTGTTAGTGACTATGGGAGTGAGATTACGGATACGGTGCTTAATCTAGGGATTAGCTCTATCGGTTGGTAGACATTAGTGTAGACCCAATGAAAAATGGGTTTTATCCGCATAAGAAAACGGTGCCATTCGTCATAGGTTGTCTTGCTGACAGTGTTATGTGCGACTCAGGCGTGCGTTCGAAAGGAGAATCTCTTATCCAGCCCCTACCTGTAAATGCGTACCGGATAACAAAGAGGAGTGCGACTGCTAGTGTGTCCATGATGCATCAATCAGATTGCGATCGTGATTCCCCACTTTGTTCATCGGACCACCGTTGGCTGACTCGTTCCACCGTCATTTAATCCGGATGTCCGGCGAGCGTGCTTATACCGTGCAATGGATGTGTGTGCGGACTGATGAGTTCCTTAAGCTCGGTCCTAACACTGTTGAAGTTGAATAGTGGGTCCACTTGCATAGAATATACAACCTTGCATTTCCTCTTCGGTCTTCTTTTTGAAAGGTTTTTTCGATTTACTTGAGTTTTATCTTCCGGACTGGTTCGGTTTCAAGATTCCCATATGTCCTGTGTTAATTCTCCCCGGAGTTCTCCAATTTGGTCCGGCAGTCTAATGAAGCTAACCAATGGTGGAAGTAAACCGTAACAGACAGACAAAGGATCCTTACATCTACATGCAGGTATGAGTCCTGATGTAAAAAAGAAGAAATAGTTTCATTATTTGAAAAACACTAGAAGCAATGTTTGAGTCGGTGAATTGATTTACACTGTATTCTGACTGCTTCATTGGTATTCATTTTTTCCAGTTCAATGTATCATATTGATACCATAAATGAACACCGATCTCTGAATTCTGCTTTTTGCATTTGTCATTCGCATTTACCTTTGTTTCTTGATACTTGTTTCATTGTACCTCTCCCGTTCCAGGCGGTTACCAAAATTCGGGAATATCTTTTGCAAAAAATCTACGCTCTTCGCAAACCACTGACCAACTATCAAATTCCCCAAAATCAAATGTTGAAATTTCGGTGAGATGTCTTGTCACTGTGTCATATGCTGCGTTCTCGCGGAATGTTTAGTCACTTCACTTCATTCCTTTCATCTGTTTTATCTGTATCAAGCAGTTTTTAACATAAAACTGTTGGGGCAGTAAATATTTCATTTCTCTCAACGAGCGGTTAACTTTCAATTCGAGAAAAAACTCCACTTCGGAGGTTCTATTGTAGTTGTCGCTCAAATATTACTGTTTGCTTCCGTTGCCGCGAATTTGGTGCAGTTGTTTATCAGGCA